GGACAATCTTAGGGGTGTGAAATATGATTACATAATCATCTTAGAAGATTAAAGAAAAAGAAATGGGATTAATGGAGTCATTAACTTGTTAACCTCAAGTTTTTCCTCCTTAACCTCCCCTTTTCTCTTCTCTATTTATCTCTTTCTTCTTCCTTAGGCTTGGTGCGAAAATGGATGAATAAAATGGAGTTTTGCAGAGCTTTTCGCACCTTGTTTGAGGTCTTGGTAGAAATGGGGGGGGTGTTGTTGATTGAGAATGCCTTTTTGGCATTTCTCTCAATAATAACATGGGAGAGGTCCCATTTCTTTTATTAGTTTGGCTCTCAATCACCTCAAGCCTACTCCCCCATGTGTTGTGCCACTTGTGCGGCTCCCCTTGATATTTGAGAGGCTAATTTCGTGGGGTGTCCCCACTCATGTGGGAGGTCATCCCTTTATGTCCCGATGTGTACAATCAGTCCTGAAAGTTGTATTTCTTAGACTGTTTTAATTATATTTTATTTTATCGGGTCAAATAAAATATAACACATGTTCCTACTCATTGTAGGCCTTTATTATGGATGTACATTCCCCAACATTAATTTAGAAGTCTCCGAAATTCGTTTCGGACTGTTATCCGATAAATTACCAATACCGGTAATTGGGCCTCGTTTGACCGATGGGTCAACCCTATGCCCTTTCTATGGCCCAATTAAAATATCCACCACCATATAAATATTATCTAGACCAAGATGAATATAATATGTGATCCCGGGATTATCGGGTGGTCCCCGCTCCCGATGTGGGTTCCACATGCAATCCACTATTCACGCAAAAGTAATAACAAAAATTTACAACCTCGTAAATTCATAAATCATTATTCAAGGTTTATTACATGATTTACTAAAAAGTAATATATTTGGGGACGATGTTACAGTGACCTTGTGTGTAATACGCTCAGATTTCAACAGTCGAATAATCTAATAATAATAGAAAGAATTATAACAGTAAAAGAGAAATTCAACATCAACATATAACGTGTATTAAGAATGATGAATCCATGATGAACAATACACATAATTGAACAGCAGAGAGAGAATTTCTAGTCTACGTGCTCTACCAGAATAATATGCGGAAATAGAATGTGTAGAGACTTAGAATTGTAGAGTGAGAGCTTCGAGAATGATATGGCTATTCTAATTGTGAAACCCTCTAGTATTTCGGCCTCCACATCCTATATTTATAGGAGTGTGGCCGAACATCCTAATTCCATTAGGATGGGCCGAATAGGTCTAATTAAATGGCCCTTAATTAATTACATAGGCCCACTAATTAAATCCTAATTAAACAAAGATAATTCTAATTAAATTGAACAAAATAAATTATTTTCTAACAGACCTAATCTATGATGCCACATAGGGCCAGTGGTGATGAGAGATGATAAAGCTATGCTAGAAGGTGAGCTCAAACTGAGAGGATAGAGATGGCCATTAGTTGTTGCCTGAAAAAGAACTGCCCCCGAAGTTTTGTCCTTAACAAAAAAGAATTTTTGTCAAAAATAGCAACACAGTTGTTATCAGAACACAATTTTTGAATAAAAATTAAATTGAATTTAATGTTAGACACATGATAAACAGACTTTAACTGCAGTGGCCGGCTAGAAGATTTTAAGGAAATATTACCAACATGTTTTATGGGAAGATGGGTACCATCGGCAACACTAACAGTAGTTGGGCCAATATATGTAGATTTATTAGTTAAAATACCTTCAGTTGGAGTCATGTGAGCAGAGGCACCAGAATCTGGATACCACAGGGCTTCATTAGGTTGACCAGTGAAAAGAGAAAGTGCAGAGGGTTGAGAAATACGAGGACAATGAAGTGGTGGGGGTATAACACCAAGAATTCCCTCAGTTGATGGAGATCATGCAAAGTCAAGATTTGTACCACAAATAGATATAACATTAGCATTTAAAGTGGACAAAACAGAATTACCTATATCACCTACATTAGTAGGTCTCGACTGTGTAGACTGCCCGGGCTGCTATCCATAACCCTGGCCGTGAGTAGGATACTAATGCGGCTGCCTCTACTGGTACAGATGGCCTCTACCACAGCCTCCTCTTCCACGTCCACTGTGGCCGCGTGTTGCGGAAACCGGCCCATGTTGGGCAGCTCCAATTTGTGATCTAAAGCCTTATAATCGAAGGAAAAGAACACGATGTTCCTGCTCTAGAAGTTTCGAATGAAGAACGTGAGGTGGAAAACTCTCAAGAAATAAGGAAATAGTCCCAACAATGGACTCATACTAGGACTCAAACCCATATGAGTGGAATGGAGTAATTCCTTGTTTGTCACAACAGAGTGAATTGCACCTAGAGCATAAGCTAAAATCTTTATTTCCCTCAAGGAATATTTCATAGACCAACTTTCCTTCATTTTAATGTGAGACAACAACGCTTAAGCTCCATAGATCTAGTTTGCAACCGATCCCAGATCCCAAAAGAATGATTGGCATCATGTACATCAATTAATACATCGTGAGTAAGCGTAACGAATAACCATGAACAAATTGGATAAACTTGTAATCAATTATAATAATTAGTGATAATGATTTGGAAATTATTAAAATCAACCGTGTAGATGGGAGGTAATTGGGTGGAATCATCAACAAAACCAAACAAACCTTGGGATCAGGGTCGATCCTAAGAATTTTTTGGGCTGAGTCAAATGGTGTAAAAAGTCCCATAAGCACCATAAAAAATTAACAATAAAATTTAAAAACAGTAAACTACAACAATTAGCAACGAAATAGCACACAAGTCTCCAACCAAAATTGACATTTAGAAATAGTAAACAACAATAATTCAAAACATGAGGATTTACCGATTTTAGGTTATATATTTAATAGCATTTATACTTAAATACTTACCTCGAATAATGGGATTACATTCTGGAAAGTAATGAATTGACGTCTTCCACTCTTATGGATTGGAGAACTCTTCAAATAAAAGCTTGAAGTTGGAATTTGGGAAGTTGCAAATTTAAATTGGGCCTACTAACTATGCGTATATATGTAAAGACATCTAATATATTTTTAGGCCCTAAATTTTTTCCAAAATTGTGGGGCCTGAGGCAATTGCCTCTTTGCCTCAACTATAGGTTCGGCCCTGCTTGGGATACCAAGAATGATTCAAACTGCATGCGCCACAAGTGAGATAATCTTCCACAGCCTTGAGCTTTGTAGTAACAATCTGAGTGACATAGACATCAGAGAGATTGACTGCGCCACTGCTGCCATAAGAGACTGAAAGAGGATGTGATCTGTTGGCCGAGAAATTCCAAGAGCGCCGAAGAACGTTGATCCAAAGAAGCTGGAATCAGACTACCATGGAGGAGGAGTCACGGTCATCAGCGTCGATGGCAGACCTGGTGGCTGCTATGGGAAAGTCGAAGGCAGTGTATCAAACAAGGAGTAAGCGTCGATCCCTCTGGTGGCGCACGACTGAGAATATGTCTAGAACGGAGAGTGGTGGGGCGGCAGATCCATCATGAAGAGTGTGGTTGCGCTAGTGGTCTACACTGTTGCGGCGGCGGAGGAGGTGGTAGTCGGCGATGTGCTGGAAGAGACCATGTCGATAGTAGAAGCCGCCGTCGAAGAAGAAGGCGCGGGTGAGGCGGGTTTTGTGTGCATAGCTACGGTGTCGTTGTCCGTATGCCTTGTGGCGGCGGTAGGGTTTGTAGAGAGAAAATTAAACTCTAACTTTTGATACCATGTGAAATAATGGGAAAATGTATTTCAAGAAGAGCCCTGACATATACTCACTCCGTCCCTATATAAAAGTATCCATTCATTTTCCACACATTTTAAGAAAGTGGGGTTGGTTGGTACTGTTTGACACTGTTTGGACACTGTTTGGCACTGTTTTGCGCTGTTTTGCACTGTTTTGTTTGCCAAAAAAGGAAAGGGAACTTTTATTTAGGGATGACCCGAAAAGGAAACAGGTGCTTTTATTTAGGGACGGAGGGAGTATATATTTCTAATAGCAGAGAGTTTTCTAAAATAAACAATGCCCAATTTATGTATATTATTACTATAATGGTATTCTTAACAGTTTTGAAATGTTTTTTCATTGAAAGATTGTGTTAGCAATTCAGAGTTGGGGGTGATCAAGGATCCCCGAACTATGTGATATAAGGGGTTGTTGGCTTGGGAAATGTTTGTATGTGTTTTTGCATGCTTTGATCCTACTTTGCATGTGAACTTGTTAAGGCCGAGCCTGGAGATGGGCACTCCGATATGAATGTGAGGAGGTATGGGCTTTGGACTACTCAGAATGGTAAAGGAAAACCTTAATCAGACCTTTGATCATGAGAATGACAAAAGGCACTGGATTCCTACCCTAACGTACGTTTGGTGTTGTCTTTGCCTCCATTCTACTTTTATTGCTCTATCCTTTTAGCTTTGCAATTGTATTCCCTGGGGCAAAAACCAAAATTAATCCCAACTCAACTTTCTTACACTTTTTGGATTACCTTCATCCAATATCGGATCGGATGTTTTGTTTTAGTTTGACACAATTATTAATAAAGTGATTGAAAAGTAGTGATTGAAGTTTGTGAGTGAAGTGATAAAGACCACATATTTCTTGCCAAAAAGGAAAAAAGAGGGACAACCCAAAATGAAAAATAAAACAACCAAAATACAACCTGCTCACCCTCCATCATGATGCCAGGATTATATTTCTCTAGCCCCACATCCTAGCAGATGTTCAAAAAAAAAACTCAAAACACATACACGTATTTTTGTTTATTTGATATAATATGGAACAAGCTTCGCTTCCCCACTAAAGACATGCAACGACATTATGGGTGAAACTGAAACTTCTTGCAATAATCATATATTCATATGTAATTCCAAGTATATGAACAGGCCTTGATCAAGGCATTATGTCAAACCATTCTGGGACACCAACAACTTTTCTGGCGTAGTTTGTTGTGTAGGATTGCAGGTAACAATTGGTGAAACTGAAACTCTTCACAATGTAAATAAATAGTGGAGAAAAATAAATAAATCAACACGAATGTATGTATCATGAAGGAGGGAAAGTGCAGGTAGCAATCAACTCAACGCTAATGTTTCATACACAAAGGAAGAACTGCAAATACATTTGTTGACAAATTCACACACAAAGAGGAATTGTTGCGCAGTACTGTAGAGGAGCAGGAACCTGATGAAACAGGATGTGATTATCCTTAAAAACCAAGACTCCAGCCAGAGGAGTAGTCTTAGCATCAGTTTCCGTGGCCTCCAACTAGCAGCATGCAACAATATCCTCCATACATTATTATTCATAACAAAATGAACCACACTCTTAACATCACAAACATGCTCACACAACATAAAAGGAAGGACCTTTTTATTTTTACACAACACAAAGGCGCATGACAAGCATAAATTTTGAAGTGACTTCCAGGCGTAGAGTGGTGAAAGCGAAGCATCGTCAGAGGTAACCTGTTGATCCGGGCTCCTTGGGATCTATAGATGGCACGTTGCCTGTGAAAATTTTAGTTTCAGGACTGGTAGAGCTGTGTTCTCTCAGGAGAGAAAAAGAGTTTCAGCAAGCAGGCAACATTGTCGCCTGCAAAAACATACAATATATATGAGGTGAAAAAGGTGTCCACCGTGGCCCGGTGGAAAACAACCAAGTCGCTGAAACTACATGATGAACCCATAGAGGATACGGGAGAAAAACCACATGCATGTGTGCACATCTAGGACCCGATCCAACAAGATGTATGATGCTTCCATGTTGCATCTGTATGTGCCCTTCGCGTCATCCACATCCATATATATGTGTTGATTACGAAAGGATATCACACCTCCATAAGCTCTCCACGAGCAATTCGATCGCACTGCTGCTCATGGATTTGCAGTGTTGAAGATTCAAACCAAGCAGACTCTTCCCTAGCTTCCTAAGTGAAGGAACACTCTTCCTTGACACCAATGTGCAACCCGACAAGGAAAGAACCTGCAGATTCATTTGCACACCATGATGAGACAACGCAGCAACACCCGAATCAGTTATTGAACATTTTGAAACGTCAAGATCGTTAAGAAAAATGCAGTTATCGGCAACCGCTTCCATGCTGGCATCGGTAACCTTCCTGCACCCATCAAGGTTCAACACCTCAAGTGTCTGTCCGTGCAGCCTAGCCAGAGCTACCACCACTTCATCCGTCAAATTCAGGCACTCGGTCAGATTCACCTTGACAAGCCCAGCCTCACAGCTCTCTAGAAGAGGGAGAAGGGCAGTATCCGTTATCCCGTAGAGGCCGCTCAGATCTAAGTGATGAAGTTGAGGGCAGAGCTTGCCCACCCTAGCTAGACTAGTGCTTCCGAAACCCGGGCAGTTCCGTATACACAAAGATTTTAGAGTTTCGCACGGTGCCAGGATGACAGTTTCTGGAGCTATTATGTCCTTCATGGCCATACACTTCACCACGCAAAGCGACTTTAACTTCCGGCAGTTTGAAACGGCATATAGAATGCCGGTCTGGGTGATCCTGTTGCACTCCTCTAACTGCAAACTCTCTAAGGATTCAGCTGCTTTAGTGAATGCAACAAGCCCATGGTCGGACACAAAGCAGCACTTGCGGAGACACATCTGTTTTACATTCTGGCAGCCCGTACCCAACGCTTCAAGGCTCACATCTGTCAACCCCCTACACGATGAGATTGCCAAAGAAGACAATGCCGTCAAGCCTCGGGCATTACCCATGACCCAAAACCCCTTCTGGCTCACATTATGAAGCAAGTTGAGGGTAAGGCAAGTGATGGCTTTGCCGTAGTGTCCAATGACAGCAAGTGAGAAATCAGTGATGTTCAAAGCATGGAGCTTCACTTTTGTTAAGACAGAAGAAGCGTACGGTGAGGAAAGAAGACTTGCCACACCCTGATCGCCAACCAGAGGGCAGTCCTTGATGGAAACGGACTGCAATTTTGTACAGTGCCTTCCAATCGCTTGCAGTCCCTCGTTTCCGATATTTGAACACGATTCGATGGTCAATGAGGTTAGGTTTGGACACTTTTCTGCAATGGCAACAAGACCTTTGTTAGAAATGGAAGGACACTGGCATAGATCAAGCTTCTCCAATGAATGGCATTCCCTGGCAATCTCTAAAAGACTCTCATCTGCGACATTAGGTACATTCCACAATGATAGGACCCTTAGGGAAGGGCAGCCGCGTGCAATTGCTGATAAGCCGATATTAGTGATTCCACGAGAAGTGTTGCTCCCTCGGACATAGAGCTTTCCAAGTCCCCCTCGGGATGAAGTTCCCACTGCCATAGCAGCAAGTCTAACATCGGTGGCTTTCTTCCCTTCAACAGACCTGGACAGGTACCCGTCACATTCTACTTCAATATCTTCACTAGCAGGGGACATTTGCACCTCATGTGAAGCCCCCACATAGATTTTATCACATGTACGGACACCACTGATGAGCATGAGCCAACGCTTGGAAACGCAGGCAGAGGAACTCCTCTCTCGGCCTCCCGGCAATCGTCTAAAGATCTCAAATAGGCATTCATCAGGAAGGGTTTCGATGGATGGTTTCTTTGTCTGATCTTCCACCACAAACGGGCCGCTGATTCTTGCCCTCTTTCTAGCCGGGCAGTAAACATCCCCATGACCGAGAGATAACAGAAGGCCCAGATCTGCTGAACACATTGAGCTCCCAGCAAGGAAGTCATCATCACCTGAAAATCCAGATCCCACACTAATTAAAAATAGTACTTTCAGTCTAACTGCATCTATCTCATAAGTGGCATCTAACACTCACAGCAAACTAATCTGTGTTTAAAGAATAGACAAATCACTCTATATTGCACTCATTTGGATCAGTGTGAGGCAATTTTAAATCGAAACAATTTTTAGTATAGTTTGGAAGATGTGTATCCTAACTGAACTCGCAATATAAATCCATATTAGGAATGAGCTTGGAGACTAATAAACTCCAACAATTAGATAGATCTGGGAATTAAATCTTTCGAAGGAGCTGCACACTGTAGATGGCAATCTTATATTGAAATTCCCCGGACACAATAAAGTCAAGTGAGCACATCCATAAAACAATTACCAAAGATGTATTTCGTTTTTCATCAAAGAAAGAAAAAGTCTACCAACTCAATTGGTTTCTGATAATGTGCCTTTCTTTCTCCAACAAACAGAATTTCTAATTAACTAACTTAGCAAGGTATGTACTTTTAACAGTTATAGGAACTTACGTCACTCACTATGTGCAATGGAGCAAGGTAAATCAGGAAGAATAAACCTCGGATTATTCATTCCACACCATACAACTAACAAATAAATTCATCAAAAATTCGAAAAGAAATTACAACATAAAATTTCAAACAAAGAAAAGTACCTCTGTGACTGTAATTAACAAGCGTAGGCATATCTGCTTCTTTTTCGAATATAATCCCCCACGGAGAGCAAAAAAGATGAGATTGTTAACGAAAAGCAGCACAACCCAGATTAGGATAAGCAAGATTAGCATTCCAGATCCGAATTCCCAGAAATTTTAAGAAAAATCCCCACTTGGAGGAGGGGAAAAAAGGATAGCAAAAGAAAGGTAGAAGAAGATACACGGTTGTTCAAGCAGTATGTGTGTGTATTTATTACGTAGTATGAATGAATATATATGCAAATTATATCTATTACACTCTCGTCCCCTGATTTTGTCCCATTTTACATTTTTCATTCATGCCATTAAAATTGTTTCATATCATATTTTATGATATTTGGATGGTTACAATTCATTCTTACTATGTTTACACTTTATAAATTCAAAATCAACCATAAAATTTCACTTTTTTAAAAAGTTGCGTCAGGCACTCTTGTCCAAATGGACGGAGGTAGTATCTACTGTATTATTTATTATAAGAGGTCATGGTCAAATTTATTTTCTAAAATTAAAGTGTGTTTGGTGAGGTGTCAAGAGCATAGTTGGATACAAAAACCACCATCACCTGTTTCCTCTCGCTCCAACAGTGTTCAATGTATCATTCCATAAAACTGCTTGTTCCCAGTCATCTTCAAACCCCGCCACTCGGTACCCGAGCCCACCTCGTCTTTTATTTTTTATTTATTTATTTAATATTATTAGCATTATTACTATTATTATCTGGTATTGCTACCTCCGTAACCGATATATCATCTCACGTGAGATTAAGAATAGTGAAAGGAGATATACATTATTGAGGTTATGATGGAAAAATAATGAAATAATGTGCTGCAATGAAGAATAAATTCAAGAAAAGTACTTGTAATAATGTATTATTTTTAAAATTATTGAGGGTGTGTTAGGGAGATTTAGAAATGGGAAGGTATGAATGTTACAGCTAAAAAAGGAAAGTAGAAAGATATGAGTGTTACAGAGGGAGTATATTACTAATGTTATGAAGTTTTCTTTTGAACCGTAATTTAGTGGTCTGGTCTATTGAACAATATCACTGTATCGTACTTTTTGTCCTACCCATTTCAATTTCACCTAATTCACATTACAGTTTCATCTAATGACATTGAATTTCACTTAAAGCAAATCTAACGGTCCAAATTCAATCTCATTTATCTCCTAAGATCACATGATGTTTTTACTTGGACGGTTTTCAGTTCCAGACCAAACCATACTTGAATAGACTAGACCAGACCAGATCATACTTAAAAAATCCAAACCAGACCTGAATTTCTTAGTTATAAAATACACAGAGACCAGGCGTTTACCAGACCAGATCAGCAAATTTCAGTCCAAGCAAAAACATCCATATTCTTATTTGAACCAAAACATATATATGTTCATGTCCGGAATTCCGGACAGGAACCGCCGTCCGGATGGTGGCGTTTCGGCCTCTTCCCGGTTGAATTTTTTGATGAACTTTTTATGGCATGTTTTTCATCAAGTCTAGTTTATCCACACAAAAATTCAGCTATCAAATAAGCCCTCAAACTTACATAAAAAGTGTAAATCAGCCTTTTTATAGAAGGCTCTGTCCGGCCGTCGCAATTTGGGGCGGTTTTTCGATTTAATTTTTTGATGATTTTTTTTGAACATCTTCTTCATTAAATCTAGTTTATCATACCAAAATAGTTAAAAATTCAATCGAGAAGGCAGTCAAATGATTTTGTGAAATATACTTCATTGTTTAACTGCGCAGTTATCTTCAAAAATTCATTTGACTGCCTTCCCGGTTGAATTTTTAGTTGATATTTGGTTAATGAATAAGATGCTCCAAAAAATGTTTCATCAAAAAATTCCACCGAGAACCTCTCCAAATGACGACGGCCGGATAGAGCCTCCTATAAAAAGGCTTATTTGCACTTTTTATGTAAGTTCGAGGGCTTATTTGATAGTTCTCCCTAATAATAATAAGAATAATAATAACCATAAAAATAATAACCATAAAAATAATAACAATAATAATAATAACAATAACTATATAATAATAATAATAATAATTATAATACCTATATAAATAATAATAGTAGTAATAATAACAATAATAATTATAAGATTAATAATCATAATAATAATTGATGGTACCATGGATCATTACCATGGCCAAAGATTGAATTAAAGCAAAGCCATCAATGGGATCAGCCCATCAACGAGATCAACCCATCAACGGGATCAGCCCTTCACGGGATTCATATTAATTGTGGTAATTACCCGTTTAGTCTATTTTTATTGTCTACATATCATTTATGTTCCAACTATTTTCTCTTTTCATATATAAACTTCCCTCTTTTCAATTTTAGCTTTTTATTTCAGTTTTAGACATATTCTCCCAAACTCTTCTTCTGTCTCCCTTCTAATCTTCCCACGTACGACAGAAACACCCTACCTTCATTGAGATTCGTATCTGGAGAGTTCTCAACCACAGTTATCTTCCAAAGTGTTCTCGCTGGAGCGGACGACGTAGCGTACGGAGAAAGGGGGTCAAATCTCAGCTTTGACGGGTTGCAATCGGGTTCACCGGCACGACACACTTTGCAGGATCGATCGACCCTCATCGCAACGATCATTCAGAAGTAAATTAGAGAAATAGGCCGAATTCAGCTGGTATGAGCTTAAATGGGACTTCCATTTGTTGTTTTGATTATGTTTTCTTTCTATTTCTATCTCTTAACCAAGTAACCTTGCCGAAATTGCATACGAGATTGAATCTCAATGGATGAATGGCTAAATTCCAATTGGTTGTTCTAATGGAGATGACTTATCTCTTGTAGTGCTTCAGGTTCCTTGTTGTACTCTCTGTATAGGAATTTAACCTTTGTTTGGTTGAAGGATTTTAGAGTGGAGTTTATTAAAATGGAGATGTGTGTTTGTTTAGGGAGTTAATGGGGAAGTTAGGGAGGCAGAAAGTTGGTGAGCTATAAAAGCATCCAAACTCTCAGATCTCATTCCCTTTGGAGAATCTGGGGGAAGTTGTTTTTATTCATGATTTCTTTCAATTTTTTCCCCAAAATTATTCTGCATTATTATTAATGAATTTATTGACATATATGTGTGTTGGAATTCATGGGAGCCAGCGTAAGCAAATGGAAATGGCATTTATGGGAGCCAGCATACAGCCTCTCAAATTTGGCCTCTCAATCTTAATCTCACTATGAGTTACTATAGCTTTGTCTAGGATTTAAGTCTTCATACATAATTACATATACTCAATATAATTTTGCAATTTTAACACCAATACACTGGACAATAGATTAGTGAGCACTGTTTTTGTTTTGCTGATGAAACTGTAGTCTGCAAATCAATCCCCAAGCTTTTGCAGTCAGTGAAGAAATCCATATACTCACTCAGGAGTCGCTACGACTTCAACCCATCAATTTTTGCTTGCTAAGATTGCTGGAATTTGGGAAATGAGGCTTAGCTTGTGTATTGCTTAGTTGCAATGTGCTACTCCAGAAACTCCATATCTCAGTAAGAGAAGGTCGTGTAAGCGTGTTAGATTCTAATTATTTTATATATTTAATGATTCTTTATTTTTTTGAATATGAAAATTGCAAAAAATCCAGCCAAGGGAGAAATCGACCTTTAGTCAATTAATTCTTCTTCTTATGTTGCTCTATTCTTCTAACTTTCCAAGCCCTCTATTATGACTTTTCAAGTATTTAAAATACTAATGAGTTATTCTAGTAGAAGAAAGTTTTGTAGACTTGATTGTGAACCACTCTAATCATGAAAATGATAAAGTTTGAGAGGCCAAATTTGAGAATTAAGATTCCCGCTTAACATTACCCATGTGGCCCTGTTAATGAAGCGTGTTGTGAATCCAAATAGTATTGTGATAAATGTTGATAAGAGCTCACTGGAGAAAACATCTATTATGTTGGCTTGTTTAGATTCTTGTAATACTTGATTCTGAAATTTTGTGATGGTGAATTGTGTTCTCATTGCAGGCTCACAAAACAAAACAAAATGCATGATGAAGAGGATGGTAAGAAGATTAAGAGAATCATCCAAGAAAATGAAAACTAAGAATCAAAGAGGAGAAGAAATAATAAGATCAAAGCTAAATAATACGCTATATAACTGTAATGAATTAAAATAATAGATCAAATAATGTATTTGTTGTGATACTGTTATTTAATATTTTTGTTTCTTTTTGTTGCATTGTACTTGTTGCTTTTTGTTGCATCGTGTTGTTAATTGTTGCATGGTGTTTCATGTTGTTTCTTGTTGGTTTTGTTTTTTGTTGTTTATTTAAGTTTATGTTTATCTTTGAGGATGATAAGAAGATTAAGAGGATCATCCAAGAAAATGAAAATTAAGAATCAAAGAAGAGAGGAAATTATAAGGCCAAAGCTAAATAATACACTAGATAAATGTAATGAATTAAAATAATAGATCAAATAATGTATTTTTTGTGATACTGTTATTTATTATTTTTGTTTCTTTTTGTTGCATCGTACTTGTTGCTTTTTGTTGCATCGTGTTGTTAATTGTTGCATCGTGTTTCATGTTGTTTATTGTTAATTTTGTTTTTTGTTGTTTATTTAAGTTTCTGTTTATCTTTGATGCATCTTTGGAATAAAAATTATGTATACATACATAAAAAACAACGACATTGAAATATTTTATTTACAAATACTAAACGATAACATGAAACATGAAAAAATAATATAAAACAAAAAATTTACAATTTATCAACAAAAAGAAACACATGGAAACAATATGCTACCAAAGCAACAATAAATGATTATGATAGTAGTAACTCAAATTTATCACTATTTCAAAAAACTATATAAAAAATAAAAATAACTATAAAATGATAATTATAGTAATTATCAGATAACTATAAAAATAACTATACAATATTATAATTTTGGAGTTACTTAGTTTATCAGATATTTTTTACTTTTATTTTTATTTTTAATCTTTTAATGTATTTATTTTCATTTTTAAGATTTTTTTGATTTTTAATTTGTTTTTCATTTTTTTATATTTTTCATACTTTTAGTTTAATTTAATTTTATGATTTTTTTGTAATTAAAAAAATCTTATTTTTTGTTTAATTTTATAAAATTTGAATTTTATGAATATTTTAACATTTTTATACATTTATTTACCGATTTTTGGAATGTTTTGAAATCCAAAATTTGAAATATTTAAATTTTT